CGAAAGATGAGAGATAGATTCCTCAGGTGACAGAATATTCATATATGAATTTACGTAGGTTGCTACAATAAGCTTAGCTTGCATATGATGCTGTAGTACGTTGGTCTAAACATTCAGTTGCCTTTCACAGCGTCACGAATTCGAACTTATTATTTCATTTGCTGTGGTCTGGGTTGCCAGGCGTTCACAAAGCAAGTACTACGCAAAAGTTACCATAAATTCCGTACATTTCTGCTGGTTTCTAGTTGCATTCGCACTTTTGATTTATTGGATGTGTTTGGTGAGACTGCAGCCAAGATTGACAGACAAACAAAAAAGTGATGCAAATAAGGGGGAGGTAGTGAGTTTACTACATTTTTCACTTTGTCATCCTCAAAATATCGAACATTTTTAAACCTTTATCCATTTGTTTTTTCACTTCATACAAATTTGTCCACTGTAAACTTCACAGTTTCTGCTCCCTCTTCTCTTCCATGCAGATGTGGAGTGGGGCAACTTGATCCAATGAACATCAATGTCAGTTTCTACGTTGGTCTGTCTATCCATAACTACCTTCAATTGAAAAATATGACCTAAATACTCAGGATGCCTTAATTGAAAAGTATATGTACTTCCTCCACTCGGTAAGCACAAAATAATGTTAGGTCTGCGTTCAATCTTGAAAAAGTTTGCAGAGAATGAGCCTTACTAGCGCAATAATTCCCGATAAACCTAACAAGAAACCCGTAGTGTATACACGAAAGGCTGCAGTTTCCTTGTTATGTTTTTTCAGGATTGATTATGCTAGTAAGGGTCATTTTCTGCAAACTTTTCCAAGATAGTATAGTCTATACACAAAAGGCCAACTGAAATGTAGACTGACAAAAAGTCTACACAATGACCGCGAATAGTGGTGGGCAGCGAAGGCTAAAGAGATGGAAAAGGCAGTGGCGACAGGTAACAGCAGATAATTACTAAGACTTTTTAAAAAAATGGGGCGATTAACGGTTAGTGATACTATAGCGAAAAAGGGTGGGTTTGCGATTTACTCACAGGGGAGACGACTGGAACGATGGGTAGAACACTTCGAGGAACAGTTCAACTAGCCTTCAGCTATTATTGCGTTGCCCGCTTTTTAGTCGGATCCTGAATGGAACACAGATAGGCTCCCCAACACTAGAAGTCGATAGGTATCTTGACACGAGGAAGGGTAGCAGGTCCACATAGACTAGTTTCTGAGGTATATAAGGACGGTAGTAGAGTGATTTTAGTAAAGTTAACTGAAGTACTAACCAGTGTGCGGCAGTCATATATGATCCCCTCTGATTGGTCTCCCACACTATCCCGGTCTTCAAGAATGACGAGAAGTCCTCTTGTGATAACCACAGAGGGACCAGCCTGACGAAGTCCCTAACATTCTAGGTTCTATAATCATTAGACGTCGTAATGAAGCTCGGAGACACCAAGCCCGAGAAAATCAGATATCCTTCAGAACTGGTCGTGAGCGTATCGACGAAATATTCACACTCCAGGTCCTGGGACACAGGCACGCTTACCGACGCAAGACAATGCTGTATTTCTCAACATGAAGGTGGCTTTCGACTCCATCGATTGAGAAGTCTTATGGTAGTGTGTCACACTGAAAGGGATACCGAGCAAGAACATCACCCTATTGGAGGCTCTTTAGTCAAACACTAATGGGGGTGTTAGAGCCTATGGTGAAATATCGGTTTAGTTATGTACGCTGAAAAGGTGTCCGCCAAGGATGCCCACTCTTTTCCATTCTTATTCAATTTTATCATAGATGTCCTTATGGAGGTCTCCCTTTCGCCATCTAACTAAATAGGGATTGACCTGATCACGAAGTCCTGTTAGGTGAAGACGCTGACAAGATGCAGTGTCTTCTGAACACCGAGTTGCAATCTGAGAATGTTTGGAATGAGTTTCCCGCCACCCAAGTGCAAATTAAGGCCCCAGGACTGGTCTTCAGCGGTACCCCGATCAACAATAGAGTGAAGTGGGTGGGCACGTTGAACACCTCACTTACATGGGAAGTCGGATCAGCCCTGGTGCGCTGGTCAGTAGCCAACGAAATCTCGGTTGGCTTTTGCCAACTTACGTCATCTACGGCACCGCCATGATGTCCGATTGCCTATTAAGGGTCAAGTGTACTGTGTTGCCGTCCGCTCTGTTCTACTGTATGGCTGTGAAACGTGGGTATTAAAGGTAGAAGACATGAGAAGGCTTCAAGTCTTTGACCACCATTGTCATCGTAACATAGACCGTCTTTCCTGGTGCCACCGCATAAATAACGCAGAAGTCAAACGTAGAGTTTTAGGCAGGAGAGGTAAGACAGTTGATGCGGCTGCGAACCTTCATCGACTGAGATGACTGGGACACGTATACCTAGCCAGTCTGCCTCGTCATACAATGTTGACCGAAGTAGGTTTAGGGTGGAAAAAGGCCCGCGATGGCCAGACTAAAACATGCCATCAAGGCATGAAGTTCATGACTGTTCGCCTAAGCCATGTAAGGCGATGAAGGCTAGCTGTTGGGTCCACAGGAAAAGAGAAACCAGTGGCTCAGAACTGATGTCCGTAGCGCAGATGCATATATATATTAACTTTGTCTTAACCGCTATACCCAATCTCATCATCTTATTCTTCCCTCCTCTCTTTTACTACTTTCTACTTCAGCTTCCTTTGATCGATTCTCCTCTTCTTTTTCGTCTTCCATTTTACTGTCGTTTTATTTGATGCGCTGATATGAGTTGTGACAACCTGAACCGTTACGCAGTAATGCCTGGTCATATGTTGATCTTGATGATGAAGACACAAAAGGCACATTTAACAAACCACGATACTCGCGTCAGTCAGATACGAACCGACCTACTAGTCTTGCGTAGTACGTATTTATCGACATCATAACCAAGCAAAACCCTGAAAATGTGCACGAGAAACCACAGACACTATTTCCAACACGTTCACAGTTTAAATATCTCATGATCGTATCATTAAGTGAGTAGTGTAGACAGTCCTAGCTAAGGTCAATTTTTAGCGCAATGGCACTTTGGTCGACACAAGCAATAAGTGCGACATAGTTGTTTTGTCAACAAATCTAGCTAGCTAATAAGTCCACCTATCGGATGGGCATCATACAAGTAACCCAAGGACTGAATTGTGACACCGAACGTTGTGGATGGTACATCCATAATCAATACGATTATGATCTTTATTCGATTATTTCGAGTGGTTTAGGTTTTAACTAGTTGGTCACAGGTTTCAAACTCTGTTGTACCTATGAGAGTTTGGACAGTCAAGTAGTATCATCGTATCAAACAATAAGTGGTTAGTTGCTTAGTGCATGAACTTGGCCGACAACCACGGTTGGCATATCACACATGTGATTTGAATGCGCATAATGCATTTTTCGCGATGTTCACACAACAGTTACATGTGAGCTACTAGATCTTTGTTGGGAAGCTTAGTTTTCGACAACTACTGTTCATATAGTTAGGAACTGTCTACAAAAGAAATCGGGTTTGATGAAGTGTTTTCGAAAAAGTGGCTCATGGGCTTAGGCGTTCGATTTTCAAGCAGTAGACCAAGGGTCTGAACCACACTCTACCTACTTTGATCTGGGAATTTAAGTAGTGCCAAAAACCCTCACACAATAAGTATGGTTCGTGGCCTATTACATAAACCTGTGCCGAAATAAGCTACGTGACAAAACTTCCTTTTAAAAACCCATCACCAGAACAATTACTCATAATCATGTTTCGGTCCTATAACACAGATGCTACAGTGTATAGGTTACCAAACACTCATGTTTCGCATTCAGAGTTCATTCACCCTGGGGATGTGACCAGCATAGGCCATCTAGGTGCTGTAAATAGAAGCACTAGCCAGGACCGAACTGTGATCAAGTTGAGTGAAAAGCGGTAGCCCATGCTTACTTTAAATGACTGCTAGCTTACCACGATAGCGATCAGATACCTTAAATGGGTTTCAATGAACTTCAGTGATAACCGATAACTTACGACTTTAGCATGGACTTCACTGGTCAACCAGGTGACGTCCTGTATAGGAAATTATTTTAGGGAATGAAACGGTTTACCATGGAGATATCATAAAATTAGTCAATAGGAGATACGGATATTTTAAAATTTTCTTTAGATATACCATAAAAGGTGAGACCGTCTGATTTTTCTTTCTCAGGAGTGAACAGTTCATCTTGCATTACGGTTTACCATTAGGTTATGCACAGTAATGTTGCACCAGAACTTTAGTCTTGACTTTCTTGACACTAACTGTCTACTTCAAATAAATTAACATCTCAAGTTAGCAAAAACGTCGGCAGAATATCAGCGATCAGCTGTTTTTGAGCACCTGCACTGGAGAAACAGATGGGCACAGATTCTTCCAAGTCTTCACTCCAGAACCTGAGAACCTACGGTTTTACCTTAGACCCCTACTATTTAGTCCCCCCCCCCAGGGTCTACGGATGGGTACTATGCAGTGAATATCCATAAGTGCAATCCCTACATACCTCGACACTCGTATCCCTCGAAGTAAAAAACCTGATTTTTGGCCTAGTGCCAGAATGAATGGGAATCCTTATGGCGTTCACAGGCCTATGAACAACCCTGGTGTGGTTGATCTGTTTGCAACGCACCCTTTTACTACCTCCAACCTAACTCACTGCAACTAAAACTGGGGCTATATTACACGATTGGTACTTAGAAAAAGTAAACACAGTGGGTTCGATAGTACGTTTTACAACCAAGCAGGACTATCAGGCTAAACATTTTAGACTGGTTCAGATGCACTAACAATCAGAAACCAGGGGTTTCTTACTTCCTACGCAGTAATATTTCTGAATACTAGTTGGCATGAAGGGAAAAGGAAGTGGGTTTTTAAGAACCTATGACTAAGCCACGCCAGCTGTTTGAAACAAACTCGGTGAAAGGACTACCATGCAATTATTCAGATATGATTACACTAATAAACCAAAAAACTCACCTGCTGATACGTTACTGGTGTCATTTGACTATTTTTAGGACCATTAGAGCTGACAGTTTTTTCACGAAGATCTAATTTTGTCCCGACAAGAATTATGGGTGTATTCGGAGCATAATGACATATTTCCGGGTACCATCTAATACGAACATTGTCGAACGATGAAGGACTGACCAGAGAAAAGCATATCAAAAAGACATCTGTTTGCGGGTATGAAAGTGGCCTGAGTCTATCATAATCCTCCTGACCTAAAAATTACACGTGTTAGATAATCCAAAGACCTAAAACCATACTGAATTATTGATACTTACCTGCTGTATCCCACAAGCCAAGGTTTACTGGTTTTTGATCAACCATCACGTTAGCCGAATAGTTGTCGAAAACAGTAGGTACATATTCACCAGGAAAGGCATTTGTAGTATAGCTGATGAGTAAGCATGTTTTACCCACGGCACCATCACCGACAACTACACATTTGATGGCTTGCATGTGTAGTAAAATCTAAGAAAAAACCAAAGCGAAAAACGCTTGAGAATCCCCGCTACTGAAATTGTTTGCGTTTAAACAAAAAATCCCATTTCCATAGCCAACGGGAAGAGAGAACTTAAGTCTGCTACCCATTTTACCTGAAGTTGATTTGGAACTTAGGAGATTTTGATTGCGGTCATAAATATAAGCTGCACTTTCCTTGGATATGAATACTTTAATCTGTTCTTGGACTATTTTTGTAAGACTTGCTTGTTTGGGATGTAACCAGCTTTTGATTTCGGTGTAATTGAATCGTATGTCTCGGTATTCTCACTAGGATCCACCACATAAAAGATTTTTTCGTGCCCCCTAAATACCAGATTTTTAAGGTCTGACAGTTGATTACATTGAGACACTGATTAGAAACAGGAATCAATCCCAGCTTATTGAATGTGGTGACGGAATTTGCCAATATTCTATATTTTAAATCTTTCCGTTCAACAACGCAAGGGTTCGTTTTTTATCAACTCTTAGTGCTTTTGGCCTTCAAGTTCATAGAACTTTCCATCTTACCAAGATGCTAAAGCGTCACCTCGGTATCAACGTCGGCGAAACTTTTAACACGAATCCTACGCCATTTTCTTCGTAGTTCTCCAGAAGGCTTTCCCCCATCTCAATACTGACGACCGCAGAGGTACACACTAAACCCAGAGAACCCGGATGCAGATGGGAATTAGGAGACGTTCTGGGGGATATCGATAGCATGTCAACGGAAATCAGGAAAAGTTAATAGCAAACCGCGAAAAGATAATGAAATATAGAGAATTTTAGGAGTAGCCCGTAGTTCCGAAATCAGCAGTTGGAAGGATCTCTGTTTACCTGACGATAGCAAGGACATAGTCTGACTGAAGACATGGTGTGCAACAATAGTGCAATAAATTCTACCATTTGACAGTTCTTCAGCAATATCCGATCCCCAAGAGATCAAACTGGTGATGCAACGGTTAAAGCTGACATGGATGTTGATTATACCCAGCGCGCTGTTTGAAAAGAGAAAGGACTTTTCACGTCTACCTACATCCTTGGCATTTTTGTATTTACAAACCAAAAGCTGTTGTACTTTTCCTCTAGTCTGAATATCATTCGATTAAAGTTAGACAAGAACGTCTACTGAATGAATTTCTGTAGTTTCTGCTACATGGTGAGCCAAAAATGTAGTAAAAATGCTTGTGATAGTGTCGGGTGCCACTTCACAGTGGCCCCTGGTATGCAGCTTAGTGAATGCAAGAGTTGGTTCAACGACGAATGCGCAAGCCTCGCACCCCCAGCATATAAGAGGTACTGTAACTTGGGTAGTGTCTGGTTTTGCATGTTATGCTGCTTGGATATTCGTGCTCTAGTGGAAGAAGCAAAAGCACCCCTTATACGATAGCTAAGAAATTAGCGTCGAAAGTCAAAGTCGATAACTGCGATAGTGATAACAGCACAGCATTGACACACAGATTTCTGTGCAAAATTTTAAGAACGTCCTACGACAAGCTATAAGTTGGACTCGTAGACTACCTGCTAGGTTTACTGACATAGACTTAGAAAAACTACACCAAGCAGAATGAAGCGAGTATCGTCTGGTTCTCGCATCTCCAGAGATGTCAGGCGGCCTGAAAATTACTGGGTGTAAGACTACGTCTAGTTCAGATGAGAGGAACAGGAATGAAGCACTCTCAGTCAACCGCGGCACCATGCAGGCCGTAGGCCATACCCAGTTCGGAGACCCGATCACTGGCGAAAACTAAACGGAATGAGATGCAAAACCCCTCTGAGGCTGTCAGCGTCAAGGCCACCGAACTAGGCTTCAGTAAACCTCGTATACACGGCTCTGAGAACCGCCAAGCAACCAAGCCTAAACGGCATGCCAAGAAGCCAGTAACGGTTATCGAACCAGCTGTCATCACCCCACAGAGCAAGGACAAAGTAGAGCCCATTAACGGGTCTGTAACCATCCACAGAGTGGAAGAAAGTAGAGAACCAGAACCACCTAAACTTTCGAACATGGCCCTGGCAAGGCACGAAGTTCGGTAGAGCAGCTTCTATCGGAAAATCTGCCAGGAGTCACCCTACTCAGGATATATAGAGCAGGCAAACAGGCGGCAGTCATTGCTGAAAACAAGCCTCAGACACTTAAGGTCGTTTTCAGGTCCACAGATGGGAGGGATCATATTCTGGAGAACGCCCATAGATCTCAAGGCTCTGGAGTATTCATGCGAAAGGATTTGCCTCCTGCCGATAGAATCGAAAAACGAGAAGCAGAAGCAGAAATGAAATCCAGACCAGCAGCAAGAGAGCAAGATCTGGAAGTAGTGGGTCTTCGTGCAGTGAGGTTTTGGCAACAAATGATGCCGAAGCCTCTATGGACAAGACGGAAAGTCATTTGAGTAGTTTCGTTGTCTTGTACACAAATGCACGTGGTCTCTTAAACACGTGGGCTGAGCTTAGTAACGTGATAAGCAACGAAAGTCCTGACATCTTACTATCTCAGAAACCTGGCTCTCTTCTTTGATCAGTGACTATGAAACACACTTACAAGGATTCGCCCCTCTTAGAAGTGACGGGTTAGCGCGCAAAGATGGTGGTATCGTCCCTTATGTTGATAAAACCTTAACCGTAAAAACCATAGAAATGGTTGAACATGAAAGCGGGACATGTGAAATGCTGCGCTGCCAACTAAAGTGCGAGGGACAAGGTGTTAATGTAGTCGTAATATATCGAAGACCTAAATGTAAGGCAGTAGACTTCCTCCTGAATAAGCTGGCTTTTTGGACGAAAAGATACCGATGCTTAGTTTTAAGAGACTTCAACGCACCATCAGCTGACTGGGATAGACCAACAACAAAAGCACCACGTAACTCGTTTGACCACCGGTCAGTGGAAACATCAATTTCTTTATCCCTTATACGGCACATTAGGATACCAACCAGCTATGATCATCAGAATGTTCCGTCAGTTCCAGACTTAGTATTCTCAGACGTAGATGATGTACGCTTCATCCGGCACCTTGGACCCTTTGATAAAAGTTATCATGCTGTGATCATCTTCTGATCCACGTCAGACGTCTTGCATCAGGCCGACACGGTCAGATCCAACACATGGAAAGCTGATATGGAAGCTGTTAACCTGGCAGCATCTTTGGAAGACTACACAGTCAAGCCAGAAGCCTCAGCTGAAGGTGTGTGATGCTCCCTCAAACATGTATATGCACGAGTTACCAAACCGTTCATTCCGTGAACTTTCCCGAGGGGAAGGAAACATTGTCCTCTATGGCTAAACCACGAAACCCGAATCGTGCTAAGACTTAAGAAAACGCGTTGGAACCTTCCCACCCACCTCGGTACACCCGAAGTGTTGAAACATTACAAAGAAGCTCGAAATAAACGTATCACTGCCATCCGCCGGCCTCGAGTACGCTTTGAAACACGCCCTGCCCAGGCGGCATTGCAACATCCGAGGAGGCTGTCTTCCTATATGAACTACAGGAATGAAATGTGTCGTGATATACCGGCCCTACCCGAATGGGCCGAAGCTGGCTGTTTGATTGAGGACGATAGGGAAAAAGCAGAAGCCATGGTTGGATACTTTGCTGAGGTCTTCACACAGGAATCCCCTGTGGACAGTTATCCAACAGTACAAGCATTCATATCCAACAGAATAAACTCTGTGAATGTCGATCGTGATGATGTATTTCGGACATTAAGTACTCTAGATGTGGAAAGACCAACGAAACCGGATGAGCTGCACCAAAGGCTGCTCAGAGAGCTTGCACTGCATGAACCCTGTCACAGTACCCGTAGGGGTCTACATCTCTCGTCAACAACCTGTCGTATTCCTAACCAACTTCATTATGTTTGACGCTTCTGGGTGTGGTGCTTTTGATACCTTAATCTCTGCTACCTTGCTGTTTTCCTGCATGGCGAACGACCCGTGATTCGTCACCACTATGCCTGTTCTCGTGTCGATAACTTTACCTACTTCTCTCAGAGAATCAGCACCTAGGCTAGCGTTGTCAGTTGTCGACAATTAATGGAAATCCAATTTTCCTACTGAAATTTGCTGACTTGTTTTTTCCAGTTATTTACCTCTGGTGGCTCCATCGCAGCTACTGCTGTGCCTATTAACTGTCTGGTAACCTTGGTCATCTCACCAATATCCATGGGTTGGACTGCGTCCACTAGTCGTAGGTGCTGGGCGATGGGATTCAGGACACATTCGGTGAATTGTGCAGCCGGCAACTGTTCCTAAGAGTTGTTATCCAAAGTGGGAAGTGCTCGTCGAAGTAGCTTAGTCTACTTCACAGCCAATACCAGCGGATCTTCGTCTGTCCGAAGTTTCGTGCCCCTGAACGGCTGCATCGCCAGCCCCCTGTCTCCTGGGCCGTCAAACTGCGCTTCCTGTCGTTCAACCATTCTCTACCGAGTCTCCTCTTTATGCTCACGTTCCACTCCGTCATATGCCGCTTTCACTCTGTCCCTCAGCAAGGTGCCAAGTACCATAACCTTCACTCCTGGACCCTGGACACCCACCAACTCCATGACCGACTGGAAGTCCTTGAGGAGGACCTTGATATCTCCATCCCCGAACTCTGCAGACTACGGAGTCTTCATCACGTACAGAGGCAAAGACACCCATTGAAGGGAACGAGAAGACTGAGACGAAGGAAGGAATGTTTATTATTGACATCTTGTGTAGTAGTTGTCAAATATAGTACACCTTGCATCAAGTCAGTCATTTGCATAACGTTCTTCATTTCCTCTTTCGCCTCTATTTCAATTTGCCCTTAATACCCCCACATTGTCTCTTGAGTTGCTCTGGGTAGAATCTTTACCCACTGCTGGTAATTCCCTATGATTTCTGCTTCCCCCTCAATATATGCTACTCATACCCATTCTGAGCAGCAGCACACACTACAATATGAACTTTTTGTCATAACTAATAACACACAACATATCAGACAGTTATCTGAGGCACAT